ATGTGTGAGTATTACATAAAGCATTTAGCATTGAAGTGAGAATTAACAATTTTAGACCACACCTAATTTCTTTTAAAGAATCCATATCAATACATCAGCTCTTCAACTCTAGAGGGCGTACCTCTTGGCTGATATTTTTCAACTCACTACAAACAAACAGTAAAACAAAATTCTTGCAAATGACCAAGATTAAGTGAACTTCAAAAATAAAAGGCTCTTAAGTTTCTAGTACCCGATTTCAAATGAAATCAGAATCAACTTTAATACTAAGGTTCGGGAAAGAATGTTGCATCTTGACGCCACTTTTTTTCATCATTATATTATCTCAATGAAGGTCAGTCATTGCAAAAATTGTTGAAAAGACATAAATCTGGGACTGAGAAACATTTCCAATTTTGTTAGAAAATACTCTGAAAATCCATTCGACCCTCCATTGACTTTGTACACAACCAAAGAATTGGCGTCTGGATACTACATTCTTTCCAGGGTTCATTTCATGGAGTACCTGAATACAACCCATCCATTCACAACTTTCATTAACACTAACAAAACTTTCTTTCATTTTAAACATTGAGCGCCATTCTGTTTTGGCCTGCCACGATGGCGTATAAGCTGTAGCTGGCAACAGATTTTGCCAAAAATTGAATATTAACACCCTCATGATGTAAGAAAGGAGAATTTTTTATTAATTTTGTATATACCACAACCCAATGATATGTTTGGAAACATTTATAACTATTCTTCATTTTTTTTATATTTTACAAAATCAACCTTCCACAGTTTGCCAATTTGTATTTTGGCAAAAAGTGCCAACCATGTCCCGGCAAAGAAGGGCTAGATATTTGTAGAAAGAATTTTCAAAACTTTCATTGCGCATGTTTCAAATGTAGGAAAGCGCCACTTGATACAAGTGAGAACAAATTAATTAAAAATGACACCGGCATTTCAGTGTCCTTTAATATATTTCGTATAACCAGCATGAAACACATAAATTAACAATTCTGACTTAGCCAAATAATACATGGCAGGTGGTCTCAAAGTAGTATGTACACTCATTGAAGAAAATACAACTATTTTTTTATTTAAAAAATTGTGCATGTGACATTATTTATTGCTTTCAACACAAACTCTTTTTGTTTGTCAGAGCAGTTTTGAAATGTTAGAAATATTGGTCGTGTCTTATAATTTTTAATTTTTGAACACAATCTACCAAAGCTTTGTCCCCCGATACCATTAATGTCTCTCATTCTGTAAATTCAAAGTTAGGCAGCTGGCCTGCATTTTGATCATGGCTGAATCTTTCTCAAAGAAAAAAAATGACACAGGAAGATAATTTTAACATATACAATGTATACACAAGAAAAAGACACACAAAAGTTCACTTTTTGTCGTCAAGATAGAGATGAGCTTGAAAAGCATTAGACCATTTATAGGTGTACTGGTACTGATGAAAACATGGTCTACATGATGTACATGTAAAGGGGTGCACAACAATCTCACAAAAATAATACAATTACAATTAGTAGGCCTATCCAAAGCTCATTTCTGTTTCTTTTGAGTACGCTTCAACGTTATCACTAATCAGCTTATGTGCACAAACATAGAGGGCAGTTTGTGGCCTTCTCATAATAATAATAATAATAACGGAGTCTTATATAGCGCACGTACGTTGTATCTACCAACAATTAGGTACTCGAGGCGCTGGTTATTATGTCTATTATTAAAGAAAGGTAAATAAAGTATATGAGAAATATGAGACCCATTATGTAGCACCTTATAAGGGATGACAAGGTGCTGCAGCGCATATTGCAGCCACTGCCAGAAACACCAGGGCAAACCCCTTCTCTTAGCGATAAGTGTTACTGGGTTCTTAAACGTGCATTACACAACACACGGGACCTACGGCTTTATGTCCCATCCGAAGGACGAAGCAATAATGGTAAAGTGCCTTGCTTAAGAGCACAAGCACCATGTTCCCACGGTCAGGATTCGAACTCATGTATACCACAGCACCCCTCATGAGGGCATACAGCGCATATTCCATGACAGTGACAGTGCATGCTAACCAGTTAAACTCAGAGTCAACACAGAAAACAGTGCAGCAACAATGGTAAAAAACGGCAGAGCACTTGTACATGTATAGTGGGAGGGGCACAATAAATCCTTTTCTGCCAGTATATTTGGGTGCCAATGGCACGACCTGCTGGTGGGTTGGGGGAACATCCCCCCCGCCCCCTCCTTTTTTTTTGAATTCTAAGGCTATTTAGGAACTTATGCATTCCATTTATTACTTTTGCCACATTTTCTAGTATCATAATATTAGTCAGCAGTTGACAGGGGGGTTTGCAACACCCCCCTCCCCCCAAGATCCACCACTGACAGGAAGAATGGGCAAATTCTCCCACCCTGGCACCCCCTCCAAGTTATGCTTCCGATTTCAATACGTGCATGCATGTACATGTAATAAAATGCACTGTGAATTGAACCAGATTGGAAATCTGTTCAAACATGCCCTTGGAAGCAACCCCAGTTGTATTTCTGTTTGTGACACTGAATTTGGCATCTTCATTGCCAGAGGGTTCAGCTGTGCACAGAACCAATATAGACTTTGATGACCAATGGACCATTGAAAACAAACCAAGGCTAATATTGATTCTCCGATTACATTCATGAGTAGCTTGTGAAAAGGAATGCTTTGGTGCAATCTTCTTATCAAATCAACCAAAATATACAATGTATTATCTACCGGTATCTATTTCATGGAACACCACCCACTGCACTGACACTACCCTGCATTCAGACTCTGTCACCTGTTTTGTGCAAGAACATCAAACTACACTTGTAGTATCCTCAATTATTTTTCACATCAAATTTGTAATATTTTAACAGATTTCTTAATTTTTTGCAACAAAGTCTAGGCTTGTACAGTGTGCCGCATGTGGACCATGAGATGGTTTGGTATTGGCAGCTTGTTAATTTTTTTTCCTGCTACACACATGAAAAGTTTGCACATTGAAAATGAAAAAAAGAACCACTGATATTTCATCTAATAAATGGTCAGCCATGTGTTCAACAGCAAGCAGGGCTTACTCTTTGAACATACAGTATACCGTACATATAAACTGATCCCTGCATGCCCTCTGATCAAATACATGTACCAGAAAGTCAGAATGATAAGGCCAAAAAATAGTTATGCTTCCAGTTTCCCTACCTACCCTACCCAGTATTTTGACAGCCCCTACTCTAATTTTTTTTATGGGAAAAATGAGCAAAAAACACCCAAAACCATCAATTACTACCTTTTGCCCTTCACTTCATGCAGACACCTCTATATGAATGATCGTACATAAAAATAATTGGGAAAAAAAATTAAAAAAAATTCACTACCTACCTACATGTACCCTATTTTCGAATGCCACATAATCGGAAGCGGAACTATTTTTTTTGGCCTAATGGATGTACTGGGATTACGTCTAAGGTGAACAAGTGCAAAAGACACCTGCAGTGACCTCTATTATACGTCAGATATCAATGGAGGGGAGGGAGGGGGGGCTAGCAACCAGTCTAGAAGTGTGAGTTAATTCACTATCGAAGTGTTACGAGCTATGTAAAAGTGAGCAAGGCTACTGGATTTACCCTAGTGATGGATCATGCCACACAATTGGCAACTGATCCAGCCATATTGGTACTGCACACGTGCATACATATTTGAAGTAAAGTCGTTAGGAAAATTGGTCAATACCGGTAAATCCTACATTGTACTTCGGGATGGTTGAGCTGTTTGGCTGTGGACTGTAATCATATGAATAAAAGTCACACCTGTATATTTTTCCCAATTTCCTACAGAAAACAACATAAAAATGCTCAGAAAATACACAAAGCCATGTTGGCATCGGCGTGATCTTGTTGCTGTGTCAACGACCGGTGTTGGTAGATCTTACAGTGCACAGTGTACATACCGTAATCACTTAGATAGTGAATTCGGCCAATGCACTAGATCACAGCCTACAAGCACGCATTAGAATAAATGCTTATCAGGAAAACAACGATTAAAATGTTGCAATAATGAGCTCAACAGAGTCAAATCCAAATGTTGTACAATACTCAACATGCTTGCCCTGATTGGGACAGCGCAAAATAGTCTGTACCTGCTCCCATAAATGCAATGGATGCACTTAAAGATATAGTCCATCATTTGTAATTTTGTGCATTTTGTTCGTTTGAAGCAACAAAAGTGCTCAAAATCTAAAGAAGGGTGCTGAACAACTAACCTGATGAAGTTTCAGCTCAGCTTCAGCTGTATATTCTGAGAAAAACAGCATTCTAGGATCTCAACTTCAAATCAAAAGTTGCTGAATCATGTTTTGAATTGGGCCTGAATTCAGCATCCGAGACATGTTCTCACTGAGCCGATTGCGACGCGATGTCGCGCACTGATCCGACGAATTATAACAACCGCGCGCGCGTGTGCGTCGTGTCAATGCTTGCGCGCGCTTCGCCGAATAAAAAAACGAACAACTAACGGAAATTTCCAACGGTGCGTCGTAAGAAGCACCGTTGGAAAGGCATTCTTTCATTGATTACTTCAAAATGACAGCTTGCCAGACAGAATAATTTCACAGGGAGTTTAGTCCCCTTACTATCTTTCAACCAAGTATGTTTTTCAACAATAATTACGCCAGTTACTTTTCGGATGGCTGCAAATGATGGACTATAACTTTAACAGAATGTGATGTCATATCCATCAAAACCATTTACAAAACAATCCAATTTACATGCACAGTATATCACCAGGATAGATGACACCCACATTCACTCCAATTCTGTACAAACATATATGTTTCACATATCATGTTTCACACAACATGACATCGTTACATCAACAACATATACACCCTTTCTCATAAGAAACCACAAACATTTACATGCTGAATTTCATAAACTTCTCTATTCTTCAGGCATTAATCGTATTTAAAAAGAAAAAAAAGAAAAAAAAAGATGCTTAACATGAAGAGAACAAAATTTGAAAGGTTTTGAATTTCAGTTTTAAACTTAAAAATTACATTAAAGATAAAAAAAACCCCAAGATATCAAATAAATCAACACTTCATGTACCGTAGGTAACTCTAAATAAAATACGGTGTATGTATGGAGTTGCATTCGTATAGAACCTATCCATTCTAATTTACTAACTAAGAAAGGTTGCCAGCTACATCTACTGTTCTAAAGGTCCTTTTCTGAAGAAAAAAAACAAAACAAAACCAAAAAGTAAGGTGTTTTTTTAAAGGGCAGCAAGAAACACAATTATTGTTTGCAAGGTTGAAGAAGTGCATAGTTTCGGATGACATTGAGTGATGCAGTGAAGTACCAGACTGAGTGAGAGATTTTATCTGTTTGCCCATGAACGCTAGAATTAAGATAAACAAAGATCTATGCAAAAACCTGAATGAATTTGAATTTGGAATCTGAATTGAGTTTTGAGCGATGCAGACAGACTGGAACAGCATTAAAATATATCCGTACAATGTATCTACCAGTACAGTGGTCATGACAGTATGCAATTTACAGTGTATGTACATGTACGTACGTGGTATACGATATGTTCTGTGCCAAACTATAAAAGATTTCTAACAATTTTTACTGCACTAAGATTTCTGCATGACAAACTCTACACCAACTTTCATTCTTCTTTTAAACACCTGCTGTGATCACTCTGTTTGACTGTAACAGATGCTCGGTGTGCGTCCGGTTAAACGGTCTGATCATCTCCCTGTATGAAGGAAAGCATGAGGGTCACAACGGTGAATGTGGCTGCGTTGACTGGAAATGCCCGCAACAGTGAAGCCCCAAGTCCTTTAGTGAACACCATGATTCCTTCGCTGTGGTAACTCTTCTTGATCATGTCTATCGTTCCCGTGTACTGGCAGGATTTGGCGCCCTCTACGCCGTCCGCTTGTATCCGCGTCTTCATCACGTCGGCAGCAAAGGACACGCACCATGATATCATTCCACTGAGTCCCCCAGCCATTAGCAGCCCACCAATGCCGATCTCGTTGTCCTTGCTTAGATTACCAATATTCCTACACAGTACATCGTACGACATGAAGTAGATGGCAAAACCGGGGGCGTCTCGTAGTAGAGTCAGAGTGAATCCTCGGTAACAACCACGGATTCCCTCGTCGTGGTAGATTGTCCGAAGTGCATCTAGGGAACCTTTGTAGTGGGTCTTAGTCTGGTGCTGTCGGTCCTCGCCGATGCCTTCCATTTGCATGCGTATCTTGGCTAGTTCCATGGGTCCCGCTATGACCGACTGGACGGAGCCGGCCACCGCCCCGCAGCAGAAGTGGCTGAACGGAGTTTGGTTTTCAATCTGGCGCATCATGTTACCCTGTATTCCAAAGACAATGGTGTTGATGAAAGCTAGCCCGGCCAATGGCGACGCCATGCCCTTGTATAAGCCAAAGACCTGTAGAAACAGAAATTCACCCATATCAGTGTAATCAAGGGCACAGATTAGGTGAAGGCTGATGGAATAACTTTGATTCCATTTCCTTCAAATTGTAAAATTGGAATATCCCGTCATGCCTGTGTAGAGCAATACTTTCAAAAAATTGGCCAAAGGAGGCGTAAATCGTTTCGTGAATTCATTGGTGCTTTGTCTCGCTGGCTTTGCTTTCACAAAAAGTGAAACTGTAAGACTAAATATTTAGTATAAAAAACCACAGCGCAATGTCAATAAAACGATGCCAAAAAGATTACATGTAATGCAAAAAGCCTGGAGTTGCCCATTAGTGGGGTTACTGGTACTTTCAAATCCCAAGGGATTAAATTTCATCGGAAGCCACGTGCGGTACAAGGACATGTAAAAAAAATAAAGTCTGTCCCGAGCCAATGTGGCTCATCAGGCCGGCGTTTATCACCGGTTTCAGTAGCATGAAACGACTGAGAATATTTCTACCGTACTCCCCCTGGATGGGATGCTAGTCCATCGCAGGTTACTCCCCAGCTAATGCCGGCACCCATTTATACTCCTGGGTAGAGAGGGGCAAGTGGGGGTGAAGTGCCTTGCCCAAGGACACAATATATGACCAGCGGCTGGATTCGAACCCCGGACCCTCTGATCATGAGTCACAAACCCTAACCACTAGGCCACACACTCCCACACAAGGACATGTATTTCAGCCTATTTCATACATGTACATCACATGTCACATACAAATTTTATATGCAAAATGGAATGAATACTCCACCCAGGACTGGGCAATTCCGTAAATTTTGACATACATACATGTACATGTACATGTCTGACACTTTTATGAGCTGCTGAACGTGAAAGTGGATGTGAACCCTTGAGTTTTATTTAGTGAATGTGATAGATCACAGACCAAACTGAGGCACACCACCTTAACGACCTTGCACATGTACGTGTATGTCATGCGGTCAGACGCATCGTATGGTGTATTTTACAGAACTGCACTTTAACAACAAATTGCTGTTATGCTTGACAACCATTAGGGGATAAATAACACCCCCCCCCCCCACAATCTTATCTAAGGATTACTTATTTGCTACTTGACTTGTCTGATGAGTGAACATCAATGAAAAAGGGCTGGTATATTCTGGGGTCAAAAACAAATTATGTCAATGCAAATTTGTGACCAAAAGAGCAAGTACCGGTAGTTACACTGCACATTCACAGAAATTGAACACAATTAAACCCTGGTGACTTTGGCCTCAAATGTTTTGTAAATCTAATTTTTTTGTTTAATCCATTTGTGTAATGTGTGAAGACAACTTCATACATGTACTTCATGCAAAACCAAAGCAAAGTCCTTGACGTCAAAAACTGAAAGTTTCTTTGTGACATTATCCTAAGCTTTCGCTTCAAACTGAAATCCTTGGAGGAAGGAGCCTGCCTTTACGAAAGAAATTCCAGTTTAGCTTTTTTTCACTGGCATGGTTTCTTTTTTACGAACTGCTAATGAGGCACAAGATGTAAACAGCAAAAATGGCTGTGGCTTTGAATTAATTTGCAGGTCTTGTACATGCGTCATCCTCATTTGTCTCACCAGGTCACACGGCATTCCTACCATGCTGCCTGGCAAAAGAAACCTCCCTATAGGCGTGGGAGTCATTACGTCATGGTCATCCGAGCTGATGAAGACCTCTTTTCATTAGCACCTGTGCATTTTCATCGGTTGCTGCGTGTTACCATTCAGCACACCAGATTAAAGAACCATTCAGTTTTAAGTAATGACGTAACTTGGGATCATAAGCCAATGTAAACAATTCCGGGATGTCCGAGTTCGGCCTATAGTGAATCAAATGTTTAATCGAATGTGTGCGATTGGTCCAACTGAATATTGGTGAACAATGTGCATTGTGCCACATGTACAAGCACAAGTAGCACGCACGCCACAGAAAAATTTAGTATACGGAGATTCTCCAACCATTTTGAACGGCCATGGTGTGACTATGGTCACCATCAATAATAAATGACGAGTGCACTTCCCTTCTATGAGGATGATACTTACACTTTCTTGTCTGGCAATTGTGTAGAAGCAGTGCATGACGCCGCGGTAACGCGTGTTGGCTAACGTCTGAGCCTGAAGTCTTACCTGTAATCAAAAAACAAACAAAGCGAATATTATTGACAGAAATATGCTGGGAAGGTCGCATTTCATTGTATGTTATTCACACAAAGATTTGCGCACATTTTCAAGAAGCTCGTTAGCAGAATATGCCTGACCATTAAACCTCCAGTGTTTATGAAGCACAAAATAGCCTGGCTTGTCAGTTGGATTATAGTTTTTTTGTGTGCGTCATGCGACCAACATGTTTCCGTCACTTCAAAAAACAAAACTACCAACTTATTATGCAATACCTTACTGGACTGTAAGTGAATCAATAGTCTCAAGCATCCTGTGAAATCATGGCACCTGGTGTGCTGTCATTTTCAAGAGAAGTGGAATTTTTGTATTACTTTCCAACAATGATCGGCCGGTCGACCATCGTTGGAAAAAAAACCTGACTTTTTCAGTACTGCCCCAATTTACCAAATTTAGTTAGTCCGCATTTTGTTTGCAATTAGTTACACATCTGTGAACAGGTGCAAGCCAGCTGGTCTGGTTCCATGACCTGACCATTGCAAGACGTCTATAAATTGCCCCGTTTCATCTGAAGTCGGGTCAGGGAACCAGACTACAAGAACAGCTTCCCCCCCCCCCCCCCCCCAGCATCTGTGAACACAAAACTTTAAACAGCTCATTGTAACAATACCGGTATTTGCTATAAAATGCTAACCCCCAAATCCATTTCTTAGAATTACAGCAAAAGCAATTGTTGTATAGAAGCCAGGCTTAATGGATGTGCAATGTTACCAGTACTTTCCTGGTTAAAGTCTTTGATAAAACATTGATAAAACCCAATTTGCACCAAAGGTACATTGTACATGTTGTAAAAATCTCAAATGAAACAAAATCACAAAACAAACACACCCATGTATGGTTAAGGTCTTTTATATAACTTTCTGGGTCGATTTTTGATTTGTTTTACTGTAATAACCCAATTAGCAGCATAAATGAAAATCACAACACAACCTTTCAGGCCCAAAAAAAAAAGTCTCCGGTTTCTGGTATGCGCGCGCGTCGCCGTAGCCATGCGCGTCGGCAAAATGAAAAAAATTTTTTTCAATGAAAGATGATGTCTCAAAACCGCCAAACTCGCTGGTTTGACTGGAATCCTGCTGCTGCACAATTTTAACGTGTTTTTAGATTGGGTTATGGTCGAGAATAAGCTTTACGTGGCCTCTCTGGACTCCCATATATTTGCACTAAGTTTAGTCGGGCACCATTTGCAGTCATCAGCCGACATTTGAAGCAAAAAAATCAGGTAAAAAAAAAAAAAAAGCCGCGTCGCCGCACCACTTTTTGGGCAAGCTCCATACCAGAAACCGGAGACTTTTTTTTTTTGCATTACCCATGCTTACATTGTATCAAGCTTTTATAGGTCTTTTTTTTGTGGGCATGTGGTAAAAAAAGGTACGCACAAATCACAAATTAAACACACCCAAATGTGTATGCAGAATGCCCATGTAAGTTCTGTCAAGGGAATAAAATGGCATTGAAAGAAGTGCCTTTAGCAATGGGCTTTTCATGTACGTGTACCAAGTCAAGGGTCATGGTCACATCTCCCATTTTCACGTTGCACACTACAACATACATATACCCGTATACTTTCACATTCCTCATTTACGCACTAATGCGCAGAATATGGAAAAGTAATTTGGCCTCAACTACATTTGTACCATGAAGTTACAAATGTATACTTGAGCAGTTATGCGAAACTGGTGTCTACTCTACTCATTGTTATCGTGTGATTGGATACTGCATGTAATTTCATTGGGGGGGGGGGGGATTTGCCCCCTCTGCACCCCCTGGATCCGCCACAGCTACCCTGAATTGACATACCTGGTGCGTGTGTAACACAGTTGTACTTAAAGGGAATATACAGCATTTGCAAACATCGAAAAATAAAACTACCAAGTTTTTGCGAAATACCGTAATAGGATGTTGGTAAATGACAGTCTAAAGCATCCTGTAAAATTATGGCACCTGGTATACTGTCATTTTCAAGAAAAGTGGTATTTTTGTATCAATTTCCAACGCTGATCGGCCGATCAGCGTTGGAAACAACTGGCTTTTTTTTCAAATACTGGCCCCAATTGACCATTGCACTTGTTTGCAATCGATTACAAACCTATGAACGGGTACGAGCCAGCTAGACTGGTTCCCTGACCTTACAATTCCCGAATGTATGTAAACTGCTCTAATTCTTCTTATATGGAGTCAGGGAACCAGACTACAGGAAAATGATCGTTTTTCTTGGTTTTTATAGCATTTTCGAACCCAAAACCTCCAAAAAGTCAGTGTAACTATATTTGCTTTATATTTCCAACCCCCCAATTCCATCCATTTCTTAAAATTACAGCAAAAGCAAATGATGTATATTCCCTTTAAGTGGGTGAATTCTGTTGAATTTTGTGGCGATTAACAAAATTCCCAATAAACCGGCATACATGTATCTATTGTAGTCTGTTGCATTTCTAGGGCTGTTAAAACAGGGGTGTGAGTGACCACTGACAAAAATAGCTGAAAACAGCTGAAAACAGCTGAAAAAAGGTGTAAAAAAGCTGAACTTTGGAAATCTCCTATAAAGCTGAAATCCAAAACAAAAAATGCTGAAATCAGCTTTAAAGCTGAGATTTCACACCCCTGTAAAAGAGTTACCGTACATTAAACAGTAAATGTCAACACTTTTAAACCTTTCATATTTCAATGTACCGGTACACATGTATACAGGCAATGCAAAAGAGCACCGTTTTGTGAAAGATGGCATCACACGACCATAACATTCAATTTTTGTAAAGACATGTTACATCCATGGGTAATGCTATGTTAATAATTATGTTTACAATGTAGCGTTCAAGAGATGCTTCCTGACTTGACTGTGGCAGTCTGAACTTACATGTACATGCAGCTCCTCGGTCTCCACTCTACTAGTCTTAGTACAGTGAAACCACTATTTCATTCCAACGGCTAACATACGTAAATGTACACAGGCCAAATGTACCGCACATTTATGGCTTGTACAGTCCCTAGTGCGAGATCAATTTTCCATTTGTCAAAAACTAGAATTCTCCTTTTAATAATCATCTGATGGGTGGAAAAAAATGCTTCATTTCATCATGAGAAACCTGTTAGTGTTACACTCGAAGTTTGGGTAAACATCTTTTCTGCAGAATTTGAAACGTGTTACAATCAAACTTTGTGTAAATGCCTTTTTCTGCAGAATTTGCAAGACAAAACTACAGTACGACAGCTGTCGACAGGCTTAATATTAATTGATATTATGCATTCTGCATCCCATTACTTCATGAAACATATGTTTGCTTCCAAGTTGAATCATGTTGTGCCGTACATGAGCAATTCCATTTATTTTTAATTCTGTCCCACAGTTAAGGCCAAAAAAAAAAAATATTCGGTCTCTGGTCAGACCAAAGTTCCGGAATTGACACGGCGACGCGGCGTTTGTTTGTTTGTTTGTTTGTTTGTTTTTTTTTCTTCAAGCTTGGATTGTACAGACAAGGTGGGGTACTATTTTGCTTTTTTGGTGTCCTCATGTACATTGGTGTCCTTCATAATTTGCTTCGGTGCTCTCGATCATTTGCCGTGGTGCAATTTCCCATTCCTTGGTGCTCTTTGGTAAAACAAATTGAGGAGGTGCGGCAATAGAGGGCGCTGTTGGAGCTACCGTGGAACATTTTGGAAAAAAGAAGAAGATTGATGCGCATGATTAAAATTGACGCGCGCGCTGACCAGAGACCGACTTATTTTTTTTTTTGGCCTAATCACAGACACTCAATAACATATTTCTTTTATAGTCTCCAGTATAAATGATTTGAAGTTAAACGCAAAGCTGAAGTGAAAACAAAGGATGCTTGGCCAACTCAGCAGAAGTCAAAACCACAAACTCTTGAAGAAACCTCTTGCATCCAAAGTTCTGAAGATCAGTGCCATACATACATACACATCTACATGTAGGCCACAGAGAACTTAGCCACGTCAACTGAGCCTGCTTTAAACAGAGGTGTAGGGACCACTGATAAAAAATAATTGAAAACAGCTGAAAAAGGTGTAAAAAAAACTAAACTTTGGAAATCACCTATACTTTTGTACACAGCAAGTGAGGGAAAAGGCTGAAAAAAAGCTGAAATCCAACACAAAAAAAGCTGAAATCAGCATTAAAACTGAGATCTCACACCCCTGTTTAAATTTAAGTGCAAAACCTGTCAGCAGAACTTCAACCATGTCAGTTGTTTAACACAAAAGTGGATGGTAAGTGGTGAAGATTTGTTTTTCCAGCTTTGACAAATGTCAGTAGAAGCACCAATTTCTGACAGGCAGGAATGCCTAAGGGATTCCAAGCTCTTTAGTGACTTTCCCAAATTCCCCCTGACCCTTTTTTCCCCCTCTGCTAAAGTGCTGTGTGCTCCTCAAGTCTGTCACCTTTTGCCATTGCTGTTTGACAAGCAGCACTGTCCCGAAACAAATCAAAAGCTTGTACTCATGATCACCTAGAAACCTAGACAGAATGGGGTTACACCCCAGACCAATTTGTATTACGAGCAACTCGGGTCAACTTCAATAGATTTTGCTTCCAAGTTCCAGACAGGCAAACTTTATGTATTAATTTTCTATTGACTGACTAAGGCCAAAAAAAAGAATAAGTCGGTCTCTGGTCATGCGCCTCAATCTTTTTTTTTCCCCAAAATGTTCCGCTCCAACAGCGCTCTCTATTGCCGCACCTCCTAAATTTTTTTTACCAAAGAGCCCCAAGGAATGGGAAATTGCACCAAGGCAAATGATCGAAAGCACCAAGGCAAATTATGGAGGACACCAATGTACATGAGGACACCAAAAAAGCAAAATAGTACCCCACCTTGTCTGTACAATCCAAGCTTAAAGGGAAAAAAAAAAGAAAAGCCGCGTCGCCGCGTCAATTCCGGAACTTTGGTCTGACCAGAGACCGATTATTTTTTTTTTTGGCCTAAGAGTTG